TAATTAAAGGTTCATTTCTAAAAATTCAGAATTTAGGATAATGGAATTTGATTATATGATAGTAAAAACAAGCATCATGAGATTTAATGTCCATTGGCTATCTTTTCACACTGTGGATATTAGGGCCTACACACACACACAATTCATACACAGATTATCGAACTAATCTAATGCATGCTCATGGTAGAAATTAAAGTATAGAAACGGATTAAAAATGAGGGCATAATCATCAAAATTCTTATACCCACAGTTTTCCATGTTTGCTTGTAAACTTTAGAATTATCTGTTCTTAAATATTTGGTAGAATTTAGAATAACATTGGCTTTTGGTACTTTCTGAGGAGGTTAGGTCTTTGACAACCTTCTCTGTTCCTTTTATCATAATTATCTGATACTGCTTCTATGAAGTCTGTTGTACCTTCATAAAATTCATAATGCCTTACTTAGAATGCTGATAACGTTTGTGTTTTTCTTAGGGCATTAAATAAAAAGTCCTTGTCTTATGTACATTTATCTTTATCATTAAGTTGTTAAGGGTATTAGAATAGGAACTATGTGTATGTTTATTGCCTCAAATTCTAGCCCCTATAGGGAATATGTTGACTTAACCACTTTTCCTCCTTTCTTTCCTTTTTTTTGTTGTTGTTGGTGGTGGTGGTGGTGGCGGCGGCGGCGGTGGGTGTTTTACAGGCTTCCCAGTTGGCGTGTATGTTGTAAAGAAAGTTCTTCACCTTCAGCATCATCATATTACTCTCAAGATGACAATTGTGCACTAGAAAATGAAGATGTACAATTCCAGAAAAAGGTATCTTAAATAAAGTTGACATTATATTTTTTGTGTCAGCTTTCTAAGACTGTCTCAAACATTCAGAATAAAAGTAATTTCAGAAATACTGTGCCATAATTTTTGTTGGAGATTTGTATTTTCCCTTGCTGTAATTTGAGGAGTTACTCAGGTAATTATGAAGTTAAGATAACTCAGAGGTATTTATAGATTTATTCTTATTGCTTGTATTTGGAATTTTGTAACATCATTAGTCTTATAGTAAGGAGAAAAATAGTGCATGTTCAGAGAACTGAAAACTAGTGCTCTAGTGCTCTATTTTTAATGATCTAAAATACTTCAAGAGTTTCTAGAGAAACCCCAATCTTTAAAAACTATTAGAAATGAGTATTACAAGGAGAATCCGCAATCAGTGGCTTTGTAGTTTGTTTTTAATAATGAAGTGCTGTAAATAGAGTCCAAAAAACCTTTAGAACTGTTCTGTGAAACCATTTTATCAGTATTTTTTTCTTTGTTGCTCTATAGGTCGAAAGAGAGGAACCTATCAATGCTGAATTATCAGGAAAATCGGGTTCAAATTTACCTGTTCCTCCAGAAGAACATAAATTAAAAGATGACTACATTGTGGATGTACAAGTAAGCCATGTTGCTTTCATTTTTAATAATATGCACTTTTAAACTAGTTCACAAGATAGAAAACCTGTTTGGTCACCCCTATGTATTATTATTTTTTCATTTTGAAATACCATGTAGCTGGACTTAAGCCATTCACCTGCTAATAGTAGTACTTTAGAGAAAATGTAAAAGTCCAGATTTAATAATAAAGGTGCCTATTCTCTTTGTAGTAAAAGTTTGGGTATAAGTCCTCAATTCTTCTTAGGTTTCATTTTGGGTCATTGTAATGTATTTTGTCTCTTCAGGTTTTCAAATGTCAGGAAATATTTTTCTAATCTGTTTCTCTTACAGCTAAAGGAAGTATTTGTATGTAGAACACAGTATTTTGATCCAGCATTTTCACTTATTGTGGAACATGAATTAATTAGATAATAGGTTAAAATATGTTTTCTCCCTTTTTCTCTCATATTACATTCTAAGTATTGTTTTTCATTTTGTGCACCAGATTTTATGTAAAATATTAAAAAGTAAAACATATATTCTGTAAACTGACCAGAATGCTAAGGCATCTAGAAACCATTTAATATCAGTAATGGCTGAAGGAACTGGAGGTATTTGATCTGGAGGCAGAAGGACTAAGAAAAAACTAAATATCTCAAATATTAAAAAACAAAAACAAATTTTAGCTCATAGAGAGGAAGAATTCCCCCCTCCCCTGCTTTCTCTTTCTCTTTCTTTCTCTCTTTCTCTCAGTACAACCAAGGCTGTTTTATAACTTACTGGGTTATCTAAAGAGATAGAGTGAGTTTCATTTTATTGGATTCTAGAAGACATTTGTCAAGGGTATGTACATAGGAGTAAGATGAAAGTGATACCTGTATCACTTCCAATTATATGGCTATCCTGAATAGTCCTGCCATCGTTCATTTCCTAGAATTTTTATCATGGTATACTCTTGCTCAAATACTTTGAAATGCTTACTACATCGTATATACCTATGCTATTCAATACAGTAGCTACTAGGTACATGTGGCTATTGAGCACTTGAAATGTGGCTAGTCCAAATTGAGATTTACTCTAAGTGTAAAATACACATTGGATTTTGGAAACTTAATTAAAAAAAGAGTGTAAATTATTTTAAAATTTTGAATACATGTTGAAATGATAATACAATATTTGATAATAAGACAGTAGTCCTTTTCTCCAGGCCTCTACAATAAAAATAAAAACTAGTAATTTGTATTTCTTTGTGAATTTTTTAGTGTAAATAATTCTCCAAATGATCATACTTT